AAGTGCTAAATCAACAAGAAGAAAAGAGAAGAAATTACATTGATTTTATAATTACATATGACTTATTTATCAATTTCGAAATTTCAATCTGCACAGTGTCTTCATACTACATTTTGAATTCAAAATATTGATATGAACTTGATTTTCAACTGAAAATCATACTGATTTAAAAAATATTTCTTTTTATCAATCCTATTTCTCTCGTTCATCTCATTGCATTGTGTCACTCAAATTATTTTAGTACCAAGGTTGTTTTTGTTCTTTTCTTTTTGCTCATATTTATTTATACCCTTTACAAGGATATACCTAAATAATGTTATAATTTGATTGTGGATTTTGCTAGAGTTTATATTAGAAAAGTGCATTCCCAAGTAATTGAATTGATTCTCTGAAGTGGCAAAAAAGGGGAATGCACTTGTTGTACAAGTGTTGCAGAGTTCTATATACTGCGATGACATTGAATGTATTGATTAGGTATATTCCCATGGTTGAGCTTTCAGCGCAAGTGTGTCTGCTAGCTAAAGTGATTACTTTACATCTATGCATGTCTGTATTTAAAATAAACAACGTAAGTGTTAAGTTTTTTCAGTGGAAAGTACAGTATGAAGACACTGTGCAGAATGAAATATTTATATAGACAACCCTGTAGCTGATTACCATTCAACAACCAACATTATCTTAAAAGATTCTATTTAGTAGCCTTCTTTGTAGTGACGATTTATTCACGTTGTTTCCCAATTTGTCACAGAGAAGAAAAGCACCCCTGAAAGTTTTTAGAAAAGCATCTCTGAAACTTTAAGAAAAAATGATAATAATAATAATTATATTTGCTTATATATGTAGCGACTAACTTTATCAGAAGTCTCTAAGCACTCTACAATAATGCAGCATAATTACCCTGGCTTTAGCAGTGCAGCTGTTACGCGCGCTGCGTTTCAAGGAATAAATTCCTACCAGGTACCCATTCACTTCACCTGGGTGGAGTGTGGCAAATGTAGATCAATGTCTTGCCAAAGGACATTAGTGCGGCGGATGACTATTCTAATTAGAGCATTAATCTCCATAGTCTCAACTCATATAAGCTTGTTTTCCATCATCTGTCAGACACATACGTGTGTCCAGTTTGTATTTTCAAAAGTTTAACAGTATCTATGATTATTGAGATGGGATAGATTCAAAATCCATGTTGTGATAAGTCTCTTAGTGTAGCTATGTATTATCTGTTTGGCTCCAAATGTACTGTATATATTATGAAGTGGTCATGTGTAATGGTTAAACAAACAGAACACACATTAGGAAAATAGATACCAACATGAATGTGTTATTTCAGGCCGATGCTAGAGTGCTTTGGGGAATGGAATAGTCTGCCCTTGAAAAGTAATATTATTCCATGGTTAACCGCCGATCCATAAACTACAGTACCATAGATAGAAGCTCTGAGTTGAGCTTCCAACATTAAATGTAAGCGTTATTTGAGTTGGCTTTTCATGTTTTACTTTATTTTCTACATACTCTTTAAGTAACCTAACCCTAACCCATAAAATGCCAGATAAACTTTTAATTGATAATAGCTGTACACAATTTTTAAAGACAAGTGATTCCTCTTTAAGGTTATTTGAATAAGACGGTATTAAAAAAGAAGAAGACCTCATAAGGTATCAGCTGAACATTGCAAAGTTCCATTACGACAAGTTAAACTCTAAAAAAGTCTAAATTTTAGTTAAATATCAAATGTTTTCTTAGTTCTGAACGGTGCAATTTTAGATTCCCAGTGATCTTCCCATTTGACATTGGTATCAGTTGTCTCCTCTGAGAGCGAGAAGGATGTAAACTCATCCTTTTCCACAGAAATATTAATGCCCTTCTGGCTCTCAACAGACTCCCTATGATATTAAGAGAAGGATGGTTTAGATTGAAGTGCAGATGATTTGAAGAAGTATAATGTCATGGTCACGTGATGGCAGATTGATGTGACGGTGTTGTTTCAGCTTGCTGCGGCCAGACAAGTATTGGATTGGGAGACCATTTATCACAACATGATACCGGTTTAAATGCATTACCGGGCTGTTGCGGACACCCCAGCGAATGACCGTACAAATATGCTTCAAGCCCTTGCTTGCTGTGAGGTACTGGATCTGTATGTACAAATATCTCACTAAATATTGAGGCAAAACTTGAAATTCTGTAGCTCACATATTTGGTGGCCATTTTATGTCTTAAAGTGCGTTGAGCACATTGCCTGTTTGGAGCCAGAAGGGTGTTAACTTTGTGTAAAATGATAGGAGTGAATGTCCTTCTGGCTCCAAACAGATGAGTTACATGTAGAAGAACCAAGGAGTTACTAGCACTCCTTGGTATAGAACCAATAAAATATGAGGAATCATCTGTTAAGAGCCAGAAGAGTAGTAGCACTGCAAAGTGCGATGAGTGAATGCCTGTCTCCCTATTCAGCACATGATGTAATTGGATTTTTAATTTTTTTTTAAAACTTCCAACAGGTTAGCATTAAGCATGTTGTTTGGAAACTGCCTTATCTACAAGAGAAAAATTTACCAAGACATTAAGAGAAAGAGATGCGATGAAATTGGCAACAATAGTCAAATTTGACTAATAGCCATTATAATACCAAATGAAGAAGAAGAAGAAGAGAAAAAGAAATGTGAAGATAGTTCAATGAGTGATTTTCCCTCTGGATGGTGAGATTTTTCACTATGTCTCAACAACACAGATACACTTGTCTGCTGAATGCCAGAAGGGCTTTAACTTTATGCAAAGTTTTATGAATCAACAACCTACTTGCTCTCAGCAGATACAGTTTCTTAGGAAAGGAGGAAAGGAAAAAAGGAGTAGGAAGAAGAAGGTGAAAGGAAAAATGTTATAAATAGATTCTTTGATTAAAGATCGATGCAATGCCTTCAGCCATTCGAAAGAAGCGAATAGAGAAAGAAGAAAAGTAGAGTAGGTGTTAGAGAAAGTCAGTTTGTCAGAGAGATTGCAACATGCTTATTCAGTTCGTTAATTATCTCCCTACGAACTGAAGCATAGGAAGAGTTATTTTAGCAGCAAACAGACAATCTTGCCGTCAGCATCATGTCAGCTCTGAATACTGAATGAGACGAGAATGTTGTAGCGATATCCATACATCTCATGTCGTGACCCTTGCATTGTAAGACTGTATCGTACTATCAGTACTCACTGTTTATCATCTAGTTGGACTTTCTAAAAAGGGAAAACTACTCACTTTATGCTTGAGATGTTCATGAAAACAGAGAGAAGGTCTTGTCAGGGCTTTTTGAATGAAAGAAAAAATAAACAAAGTCACGTCAGGTAACTGAATTTTGTGAACATCCTGCCAATACAGCATATGCCACTTGGGCACGATGTGACCAGACAAGCGCATCAAAGAAAGCAGGAATTGGGAAAATCACTGACCCACACCCAGAAGGGTGGTGTGGTAATGCATTTCTCTCTTCTACATGATCTAATTCACATTTTGCTCTCTCTCTTTCTCTATCTTCTGTACCATTATCTGTCTATTTTCTCACTTTTTACTGATCTGCTTTCTCTCTCTTTCTTTTGCTGCATCCTGCTCATATAGGTTTTGTTTGTCCTTATACTCTTTCTCCTACATTTCAGGCTACCTGTACAAGCATAATTAGTTGCTGTCCCTTTTCTATCCATCCCCTCTTTCTCTCTCTCTCTCTCTCTCTCTCTCTCTCTCTCTCTCTCTCTCTCTCTCTCTCTTCTCTCTCTTTCTCTCTTTCTCTCTCCTACCCCTTCTTCTAAATAGCCCCCACCCCATTATCCCCTTCCTTCTTTTCTGCTCTTTCTTTAGATCAAACGGGCAAGTGAGAGAGATAAAGATAACAAAAAACACAAGGCAAGAGAGAAAGAAAATAGGGGTAGAATGAGAGAGGCAAAGATAGAGAAAGATAGATTGAGAAAGGGAAAGGGTAGATTAAGAGAGAGAGAGAGAGAGAGAGAGAGAGAGAGAGAGAGAGAGAGAGAGACATGGAGGAAGATAGGCAGATGAAAGAACCAGATTTGAGAATAGCTCAAGTAATGGACAAAGAAGGAGATAATTGGCACACAATTTGATTTCCAATTGAAGTAGGAGGAGGAAGAATATAATAGAGCTCTGAACAAGAATTTGTCCTATGGAGTAAGATGAGTGATTAATTTGAAGAACTTGAGTGGAAAATGGCCCGTGCGTTATTGATTTCACCTTGCTCTACATTCTGCACGAATTGGCTTCATGATTTTGTACTGTTCAGCTCTGCTTAAAGGAATGAAAATTGTCATTTTGCAATTATTTTTCAGTTCGTTATTGTGGAATTTATCATTAGAAACATTACTGGCTACTGTACTTGAGGCAGTAAAAGCAATGATAAATGAATGAAGAAAAAAATCCTATCATTTTTGTTGTTGAAATTACATTCAAAATTATGTTTATATTTTATTACCTGGACCCTGTTGCTTAAACTTAACATGGATGGTAACTTTGCCATAAATGCTAACTTTCATGAATATTGATGGCAAAGTTACCATCAGAAATCAGTTTTATGCAACACGGCCCTGGTACTAAGATATACCGGTTAATATTACTTTGAGTATGTTTGAAATTCTACATTGTCTTTTAAAAAAAACCTTAAACTAATAAGTCAATGTTGGAAAATATGCTCTCAGGTTACATACTTATTACATTCTTTTTTTATTTGTTGCAAGTTTTTGCAGATTTTATTGTCGATAAATGATGTATTATAAGACGACAACTGTTCGGAACACGATTACGAGACTCTCGGAATCAACCTCAGGTGATGTCATTAGCCTCAGTTAAATATGTAAATATGACAGTGATGTATTACATAATCTAATCTTGATTCCAAGGGATTTACAATAGGGTATCTAAAGTGCTCTTCAGTTGATTTATTGAAAGTCTTGTCAAATTAATGCTTTTCATTTCTTGTAATTTTGTTATCCCATTTTCCCCTTTTCTGCAGGCCCTTGATTTACAACAGGCGGTGAACCAGAATGCATTTCTAACCAAACAGTTGGGAGATCTACACCGAAAACTTTCTCTTCTTGATCAGGTAGGATGATCTAGTGCGATGATGGTAGTTACTATTGTGCTGGTGGACCTGGTGGTGGTGATGGTGGTAATGGTTGCCATGATGTTGGTGGTGTTGGTGGTAACAGTGGTGACGGTGGTAGTGGTAGTATTGATATTGGTGTTGGTGGTGACGGTGTTAGCAGTAGTGTTGGTGATTAGTGATGATGGTGGTAATGTTGATGGTAGTGTTGGTGATGGTTGTGGTACTGGTGGTGATGCTGTAGCTTTGATAGTGATTGTGTTGCTCTCAATATGTAAAGTTGTATGGGTATCTTGCTCGCTAGCTCTCATATTTTGTTTTCCTGGATAAAAAAACCCTGATAACAGCCTGAACATAAATATCACACAAATTACTTCTTAGATGCTGCTTGTATGTATCTGCTTGCATGGTGATGTAGATATATACAGTAGGCTTGTGGTTGCACCATGTGAGAGAGAGAGAGAGGATTGAGGAGTCCTGAAAAGGACTCTCGGTAATCTTTCTTAAGGGTGTGTAGTCCTGAAAAGGACTGTTGGTGTAGTCTTGAAAAAGAATGTTGGTTATCTTTCTTAGCTTGTTGGAGACGATGGGTGGCGGGAATGGCTACTGTATATAAAACTACTTCTTTTTTCCTTTTCCCCCCATTGTCACCTCTCTTGTCTCTAGGTACTAGAAGAATGCCGTCAGTTGAGGGAAGACTTCACGGACCAGCGCCAAATCCTTCACTCAACGATCGCCGAGAGAGATTGGCTCAGAGACTCTGTCATCAAGTTAAACAGTGATATAGCAGTAAGTCTTTCTCTTCATTTCCTCTGGTTTAATCCCCCTGATCCAACAATCCTATGGTCTTTATATGTTTCATTAATTTACGTTTGCCGTTCTCCACCCGGTGATGTAAATATATATCTGGTATAGGAAGAAATTCCTTGGATGTCGGAGCAGCTTATCAGGCTACTAGAAATGCATAATGCTACTGTTGTTGTTCTTTTTCTTCTTGTTCTTCTTTTTTCTCTTGTTCTTCTTTTTGTTCTTCTTTTTCTTTTTCTTCTCCTTCTTCTTTTTCTTCTTCTTCTTCTTCTTCTTCTTCTTCTTCTTCTCCTTCTCCTTTTTCTTCTTCTTCTTCTCCTTTTCTTCTTCTACTTTTTCTCATTCTCCTTCTTCTTCTTCTCCTTCTTCTTCTCCTTTTTCTTCTTCTTCTTCTTCTTCTCCTTTTTCTTCTTCTCCTTCTTCTTCTCCTTTTTCTTTTTCTTCTTCTTCTTCTTCTACTTTTTCTCATTCTCCTTCTTCTTCTTCTTCTTCTTCTTCTTCTACTTCTACTTCTCCTTCTTCTTCTTCTTCTTCTTCTTCTTCTTCTTCTTCTTCTTCTTCTTCTTCTTCTTCTTCTACCTCTACTTCTTCTTCTTCTTCTTCTTTTTTTCTTCTTTATCTTCCTCTTATCATCATCATTATCATCATGATTAGCATATCCTAACAACCCTCTAACACCACTATACATTTCCTCGCGCATATATTTCATAGAGCCTTATGTGGCTTTATATTCTGGTGTCTGTATATTCCAATGTCTCTGCTAAGAGCCATGCAGTGATACAAAGATAGGAGTCAATGCCCTTCTGGCACTCTGCAGATGGCAAACACTTCTAATAAATGCGCTAAAATAATTACTGTTTCTTAGGTGTCTATTTGGCACATGTAACATGTGATATATAAATGACCAAGGCAACAGGCTATGGTCAATATTGATTGCAGAACAACACATTCTACGATAAGTGCTTGAAAAACACGTATGCTGTAAATAGGAACTACCTGTTCTTTGCCACTCTTGGAACATGCATATGATGTACACGCATATTTCTGTCCGTCTTTTGGTCACGTCATGTAGGAAGTTGGCTCCTCAAAAGTACAGATTTTCACCTCAGAAATCCACCCTCGGTGTTTATAGATTCTTCTGGCCGAACATCTGCTAAGCGACAAAATAACACTGGATTCGGAAGAAAAGAGGAAATATTTTCACAAGTGGCAGGCATTTTCCCCTCTTCCTCTGTATTTTATCAAGAAGTTGTGCTGGGTGATGTGCACTTTCAGAGGATGATAATTTGTTTTCTCTTCTGCAGTAGTGTTATAGTTGGTGTTTTGGGAGTAAAACAACCATGACATTATTGCTCAACAAATCTTGGAGTGATTTGATTTAGGTTATTAGTCTGCCTTGACTTGATTTAGATTCTTATGTTTCTTGTCATGTTCCTCTCCTCATATATCTCTATTCTTTTATCTGTGTGTTTTCTCTTGTCTTCTCTCTCTCTGTCTGTCTGTCTGTCTCTCTCTCTCTCTCCCTCTCTCTTCTACTCTTATATATTTGTTTGCCCCTCTCTTTCTCTCTCTCTTTCTCTCTCTCTGTCCCTCTCTCTCTCTCTCTCTCTCACACACACACACACACACACTCTTTTTTTCTCTCTCTCTCACTCTTTCTTTCTCCTCATCTCCTCTGCTTTCCTTAATGCCCTTATTTTGCCATCTCTTCCCTTTCCCTTCTTAGATACCGGCCTGCTTCTTCCCCCCCCCCCTTTCTTTATTCACAAGTTTCTTTTTCTGTAAACCGGCCTTTTCTATTATTCCTGTTTGCTATTCGATCCCCAAACTACCCACATCAACTATTCCCCAACTACTTTATTATCTCTTTCTTTCTCCCCCTACCCCCTCCCTCTCTCTCTCTCTCTCTCTCTCTCTTTCTCTCTCTCTCTCTCTCTGTCTCTCTCTCTTTCTCTTTCTCTTTCTCTCTCATATTTCAATTCCTCATCCTTGCAAACAAATGGTTCTCTTATACAGTTGCAGGGTTTATACTGATAGTCTAGATGAGCATTAAGTCTAACATTATGCTAAAGAGGCCTTTTAGCTCTCAACATAAGTGATAATTCAGTTCATATCAGCCATGTCCAATTATTTGATTCTCATTCAACCCAGTCAGAGATCGCAAGGGGGGGGGGGGGGGGATCAAGTCTGAGAAAACTTTCTAAAGCTCCGCCATTATCTCTCCCATACTGCAAATTTTGCCCTTAATGTGTTCTCTTCCTTGCTTCACTTCCGTTGCCATTGTCACATTGCCTAATGTAACTTGTTTGCTCTAACAGTGGTAATGTGGAGAGCCTCTGTCCCGTCCATCTTCTATGCAAATTTGAAGCTTTAGTGTTTCAGTCAAAACCTTTTACGGGAGCTTCACTCATGTTTGCCTCATTCTTTGTTGTTTTTCATAGGGTAGAAGCGTTTTCAGGAAAAACCTGTTTTGTCAGCATCTGGTTTAATGATGCCCTCTCTTTACTACTAGACAAACAGCGCACTCTCTCTCTCTCTCTCTCTTTTTCTTTCTCCCCCTCCCCCTTTCTCTATCTCTCTATCTCTCTATAGCTCTCCCCACCCCCACTCTCTTTCACATTTTCTACTTACCTCTTATTCTATTTTCCCCTCTATCTTTATTTCTTTCTGGGCCTCCTTTTTCTTTTTTTCTTTGTCCATATTTGCTACGATACCATTCACTCCTCTCTCTATTCTGTTCATTTGTCTCTCCTACCAGTTTCTCCACACTCCTTTTTTTCTGTCTCTTTTTTTTCACTGTCTCTTGGTCTTCTGTACCTATCTCTTCTCTCTCTCTCTCTTTAATATTGCACTCTCCCTATCAGATATGCCATCACACCAATCTACATGTATCTTTCAGTCAATCTTTATCAGCCTAGGCATATCTCTTATATTTTTGTCAGACTGACTCTTTGGCTATCTTCCTCAATCAATCTCTGCCTATCTTCTTCATTCTATCTTCTCCATCATGTCTCTTGGCCCATCTTCTTTAGTCTCTTTGTTACCCTCCTTATCTCCAATTATGCTAAGGTTGTTTGGCTTGACAGCCAGCTTGTTATCAGAGCCCCCAAAGAGCGCCTCCGCCAAGAAGAAGACGAGCGGCGCTGCGCCCACCACATCAACATGTGCCCTGCGAAAATGGGGAGAATTGGAGCAGATAATCAGGAATGAACGGAACAAAAGTCACCAAAATTGCAACACGTGGACGGGCTGTGAAAGGAAATGTCATCACAGTCCGCAAGGGGGTTAAACACGGGACTTATCTCACAAAGCCCAACGTCTCCACAATGCCTCCTCGGCGAACATTTACCAGAGGAAAAAGATAGTATCCATCTAATTTATCATCACCTTTTACGGTGTATTTTAATGAAACCTGTTTAAGGTGGGTGTACATTCCCCCTCAAGTGATTTTAATTAACGGGACTCGGCGCTGGGTGTAGAGGGAAATGGCAAAATTTAGAGGTATGGAGGTCTTGTACGAGAAACCCTGCCTCTATTATTCCAAGTTATTCTGTAATGGTATAAGATAAACATTCAGTTATAGAGTATGTATGTATAATCGTTTAAATGGTATTTTCACAGCTGCTTTCTTCTGTCATTGTTGGTCTGAACCTTGACTTTAGGGGATCACATTAGCACATTTTCCTTCCTTGCAGCATATGTTAATGTAGTTGTATTGTCAACTGAAATGCGGTGGGTTTGGTTGGTTGTCTTTCTCGCCTGACTGTTTAATTCTCTTTCATTTTCCTTCTCTGCATCTCTCTCTCTCTCTATCTCTCTCTGTTCTTTCTCTCTCTTTCTCTTTCTCTCTTGCTTCCTCTATTTCTCTTGTTGCCCTTCCGTATTACTCTCTTTTATCATTCTCACCGTATTCTCTCTCCCCTCTCTCTATTTCCCTCTTTCTCTCACTATCTCTCATTCCCTTTTTTCTTCACCTTTCTTTCTCTCCAATAATCACCCTGAACTTGTCTTCTCCATGTTTTTTCACTCTCTCTTGCCACTCCCAATCTCCCCTCCTCTCCCCTCTCTTCTCTCACCTTCTCTCACCCTCTCATTATTCTTTCATCACTTCCACCTACTATGTCTCTCTCTATGTTTACGCAGCATGTACTTAAGCCCAATCTAGACATCTTCCGTCATAGGATACTTAATCATATCAGCATCGGACAAACATCGATATCTTGTGTCGCAACGAGCCCAGAAGTAGGCTGCGAAAGAAAAATTAGAACTCAGTAAAAACACAACAGCCTAAAAAAGCAAGACAAGTGCTTTTACTCCAATGAGTTTTCAAGAGTTGTTGTTGTTCCAAGCGCCTTCTGCCTTACAACGCCTCCTGCTTTACAATGTCTTCTTCTGCCTCGCAACGTCTTGTTCTAATTCTGTCAGGCCATGTAAGAAGTGCTTAGACTGTGTAGACGGAGGAGAAAGTACCGGAACATTGCCGAATTCAAGAGCCTGCGAATGTTGGCATGGTGACGGCCCATTCCGTTAATTAGATGCAGTCCAACCCTGTTTTAGTTGGCCCACCTCCTTACAATCGTCGTCTGTATATATTGATCATCTTGAATGTCCTACTTAAGCAAGAACTAATGGTGTAGAACTTGGCTAGAAAGGATCTGTGTGTGCAGTAGCACCTGTATTTGTTTCTCTTGGGATTATTGTAATAGACCGATGTAAATCTATAACCATAATGTGTGTATAAAGACTTTGTACTCCATGATGCTGTCATAGTCTCCTTAGGCAATACACCTTGGATGCTGTCCGATTTTTTTTCTTTCTTAAAATGTTGGCTTCCTATATGAAAGATGCATCCTGTGACACAGATTAAATGCACTTCTTGCTCTATTTAGTAGAACTGTGGCCGGAGCTCCAATTTTAGCATATGTACCTGGTGAGATGCAACTATCATCGAATTACCATAGGTCAAAAGTGATACTTTAAGG